GGGGGAAGGAGTAGTGTCCGGGGCAGCGGCAGCCCCAGAGTCGACCTCCGAAGCACCAAGCACACCACCCCCAGAGGCAGCACCAACACCAGCTCCAGACCCAGGCTCTCCAGAAACCGAAGGAACACCCTCACCCCCAGACGCAGCACCCCCAGACTCCGCACCAGCACCCCCAGACTCCGCACGACCAGTACCAGCCCCCGGAAGACAAGAGTCCTCTGCAACCCGCGGCTCAGCTCCAACTCCAGCACCCCCAGAACCAGAGACCTGTACAGGGACAGTCGCAGGACCAACCTCCCGAGAGGGAGCACCTGCAGGAGGCGGCGAGGAAGACTGTGGGGAGGGAGGCTGTACAGGGGGGGCTACCGAAGGGGGAGGGCTAGCCTGAGACACACCAGACGGGGCTGGACCAGGGGGGGGAGGCTGTACCGGGGGAGCAGGCGGGGGAGCGGCTGTCAGGAAGAGGGGGGGAGGAGGAACCGGGAGACCTCGACTGGGGTACCTGACGTAGTACGGGGTGGACTCCTCGAAACGGACGTCACGGGAGTCAAAGAACCGGTGAGAGGGAGGGTGGTAAAAGGTGAAGTCAGAGGAGTCCTCAGGGAAACCAAGGAAGACACAAGGAACGGCGCGAGGCGAGAGCTTGTCCGCGGAGGTGTCGCGGACAAGAGCCAAGCACCCCCAGACACGAAACCTCGACGCGACACCAGGGGACCCTGTCCAAAGACTGGTCGGTGAAGCCTCCGGCCGAGAGACGCGTGGCCAGAGGTTCAGCTGGTGCGCGGCGTACCTGACTGCGTATGGCCACAGGAAATGGGGGGCACGGGCGTGAGTCAAGGAGGTGCGGGCAATCTCCATGACCAGGCCTATGCGACGCTCAGCAACCCCATTCTGCTGTGGGGACTCCGGAAGCGTCCAGGACTGACGAATGCCCTGTTCGCGACAGAATCCAGCGAGAATGCCGGAGCGAAACTCGCCCCCGCGGTCGGAGTGGAGATAGCGGACACGACGACCACGAGTGTCCTGGGTGGTAAGCAGCCACCTGATCAGCGTAGAAGTCACCTCAGACTTCCTCGCCAGGGGGAACACTGTGGTGTAGCGGGAGTAGTCGTCAACGACCACCAAAAAGAAACGCTCACGCTCAGGGCCAGGGCGAGGAGAGGGGCCCCAGACGTCCAAGTGCAGCGTCTCAAAAGGCTCGGTGGCCGGACGAAGGGAGGAGGAGTGAGGGGTGGCACGCAGCCTACCCTCGACGCAAGGACCGCACGGTGGTGCAAGGGACGGCGGCAGCGACGGCAAGACACGCGGGAGACCTAAGACCAGACGCTGACTAGACATAGCACGCAGACGTGGAAGAGAAGGGTGTCCCATCCGGTGGTGCCACAGAACGGTGGGGTGGGCAAGTGACCGACAGGAGCAAGACGCAGCGACTGGACTGGACGCGACAACCTGAGGGGACGGAACCACCTGGTGAGACGCAGGGAGGAGACTAGGGGGAGGGACAGGAACTGGGAGGAGTGGCTGCTGCGACGGCGGCCGCTGTGGCTGCGGCTGCGGCTGCTGCCGCTGCTGCTGCTGCGGCTGCTGCTGCTGCTGCTGCTGCTGCGGCTGCTGCTGCTGCGGCTGCTGCTGCTGCTGCAGTCGCTGCTGAGCGCGCGGGCCAGTGTGAAGAGTGTAGAGACCGGAGCCCGGCTCAGCAGCAAAAGTGGCGAGGGGCTGGTAAGAGTCCCCGTCAACACACACCGCAGTCTCTCCAGAAGGCTCAAACCACACACCCACGTGCTGACTCACGAGGGGTCGCACGCCCACCAAGTTCCGGGAGAACGAGGGGACGTGAAACCCAGTGAGAGACCCAGAAGGAGCAGCCGGACACGGCAAGGTGGTAGTGTGACGCGCGGTGACTGGTCCCGAAGTGGGATCAGCCAGCGCCACAGAAACAGGCGCAGGAAGAGGCGTAAGTGTCGTGCTGTCACGAAAGAAGCAGTGAGAGGCTCCAGAGTCCAGCGTGAACGACAGCGAACCGTCCTCTGAGGTAGCCGCTGGACTAGAGTCTACACAAGAACCTACACTAGCAACAGGCAACTGAGCAAGGCTAGCACCTAAGCTAACAACACCAGAGTAAGCAGAGTCAGAAACACTAGAGTCAACAACAGCATACATAGCATGGGGAGTACCAATCAGATCAACTAACTGCTCAGCAGACATGCCCCACAGAGCGGAGCCGTAGCGCTGAACAAGAGGCAGCCAGTCAGGGGCAGGAGCACCAACCCCGTAGACCAAACGAACCGTGTCAGTGAGCTGAGCAAAGCACTGACCAGGGGGGTGAAACCGGCCACTCCTACCGCGGGACCGCGACGCAGTCGTAACAGCAGCTGCAGTCGCGTCAGTAGCGGCAGTGGCAAGTGAGGCAGTAAAGGTGGGTAACTGCGGGACTGTGCACCAGAGGCAGCGGCTACCGAGCGAAGGTTGCTCTCGACGTCCTTGAGTGTAGACTCAAGGACATCGACGGTGAGCTCACTAGGGTGCTTCAGCAGAAGCGCGTCGCGAACGGAGGCAAGGCGGTCAGGGAGGCTAGTGGCGATGAAATAGATAGTAATCGCCATAGGGGGAGGAAGCAGTGCAAGCTGTGCCTCAGTGCAAGCAGCGCGGTAACTAGCGTCGAGCGGCAGGCTCGGGGGGCTCGGGGAGGTCACCAGTAGCGTGCGACCAGAGGGTCTCGCCCCCCTGGACTTGACTCTCTAACAGACGGCGAGCGCGAAGAAGCCAGACGGAAAAGTCAAGAGGTCTACCGTCAGCGTCGAAACGAAGAACTCGCGGAGTCGCCATAGCGAGAACTAACGCGAACGAGCAGGCGAGTAACAGCAGGAGGTAAGAGGCAAATTAGGGTTCAGGTGGGGGGACTTAGTCGCAGCGGAAGAACGGGCTAGGGCGACGGGCCAGGGCGTAGGGTCGACGGGACGGGGGAAAGGGCGGGCGCGATGCGACGGGGCAGGGCGACGCGACGGGGCAGGGCGACGCGACGGGGCAGGGCGACGGGACGGGGAAGGGCGACGCGACGGGGCAGGGCGACGCGACGGGGCAGGGCGACGGGACGGGGAAGGGCGACGCGACGGGGCAGGGCGACGCGACGGGGCAGGGCGACGGGACGGGGCAGGGCGACGTGACGGGGGGAAAGGGCGCGACGCGACGGGGGGAAAGGGCGCGACGCGACGGGGGGAAAGGGCGCGACGCGACGGGGGGAAAGAGCGCGACGCGACGGGGGGAAAAGGGCGCGACTCGACTGGGGGGAAAGGGCGCGACGCGACGGGGGGAAAGGGACGCGACGAGGGGGAAAGGGCGGGCAGGACGCGACGCTAGGAGTGGCGCTAGGCGCGGCACTACGCGCGGTAACAACGGAACCGGGACGAATGAGAGCTAGGATCAGGCTCGGGAGGCTCGAACGGAGAACGGAGGAACGGGATCCCACAGGATCCTAACCTAACTGATACCATGTCAAAATGAAGAATGGATGATGCATTGATGTTGGTTGGGGTACATATAGCTAACCCTAAGTTTTGTACCCCCTAAGACAAACCTCACTATAGGCTACAACATTTGACAAAAACGCACATAACTCATGAACCGTTGAGGCGATTCACGAACCGTAAACACTCACACGTAAAGCACAGAAACGCCCATCTCCAAAGAGCAAATTACCTTAACTCCAGGATTTACCATCAGTCGTGTGTGGTTGTTACGAACCACTCCAACATGCATTGCTTGGATTAGTCAGGCAGCCCATTGGCTGCGTCATTTGGTAGGTTACCACACTGGGCACACGATCCAAGCCTGCCTCATCTCTCGCAGTACTGTACGTGTCGCGGTTCTTCGTAATGTCCAGCTTGTAGAACTTGATATGCCCAGCTACTTGTCCGAGCTCCCTTGCTTTCTCGTCAAACGCGTTAACCAGCTCCTTGCTATCGGCGTCCGATGGGTCCCAGTAGAGCACGAAGACCGTTTCGCCATCGCCCCGAACCGCGTCAAAGAAGTCGTCATCCGTCAAATCTCGAGCCATTGTATGAAATTTCACGGAGGCTGGACGGATTGAAGATGAGTGTGTATCGCCAACAAGCTTGGAGGAAGTGAGAGAGGAAGTGTGAAGGGTAGCAGAAGTCAGCAGCACGATGGAAATATTGGGCCTGCACTGCACGGCTCGTCTGACATAGTGCAGGCCCGAAACGAGAGAGCCCGCAGAGCCAGCAGCAGTCAAGAAACGAGAGCCGCTGGCTGTTGAAAGCGCTTCCCCAACAAGGGCATCAAACGTTCCTGCCGAGGGTGAGCACCCCTCTCAACACGACACTCGAGGTTATTTGGAAGACCCGAAACAAACATGCGGAATGACAGGACTGGCCAGCCGATCGCATACATCTTACAATATAACCTTCCAGACCTGAGACGCACTTATGTACATCAGACTCTGTAATTGACTCTGTAACGGAAACAGCAGACTCTGTAAGTGACTTATTTGGTCCATTCGCCAGGTTAAGGTTAAGGCCTTTGCTAAGGGCAAACCCAAATTTATGCTTTCTGGGCGGGAGGCAGGGCTGCAGAGAGGACCTACCCAAACCGTGGATTACGTGGCATAGCCGGTCAAGATAAGGGGCTAACAACGCAAGGTGACATGGCGGATTTAGTAGAATGACATGTAGCTATCCTATGTTGATACAGAAAAGTCAGCCAAAAAAACTATATTCCGTCTCTTACAGACTGTAGTAAGAGAATAAACCCCAAATCAGAAAAGCTTCCAGGCTGCTTCTGGGGCTTCACAAACATCTAGTCGCTGTAACTTTTAGCTACTCTTGATTTCGTTTTGACTGCAACATCTGTACGCCCTAATGTAATATATGATGTCCTAAGATGTTTGTGCTGTGATGTTTACGAAGCCATTGCCTGATGGAAAGTCAGGATTAATGCCTCTTTTTCATAGCTGCAATGAGCAGATGTCATAAAACATGGTACACCTATGTTTCAGCAGGAGCAGCCGCTGTGGTAGCTGGTGTAGAACTTGCAACCCCTGCTCTTTCAAAATATTTGTTATCCTGTCACGCAAGACAGCGAATGTGATGAGCAGCAAAACAGATGGATGAGAAACCCAGGATAATAATGATGAGAGATCCTTGAGAATATGCGAAAGCAATGTAAGTAGACATGCTGCAGGTGTCATGTTGGAGAGAGTGTAATGAAGAAATGAGTTATATCAGAAAGCGCCTAAGGAGAGTGTAGTGTGTCATAATAAAGAGTGAAATTCATGCAGGCAGAGACGCATGGCATGTACATCAACCTGTAACCAGATTATATCCAACCATGCATGTGCACAGCAATACACCAGTATCTTGCTTTGAGATGTCCAGAAACATGTCACAACGACCCCATAGTCCATGCACCCAAGGACCCATGCACCCATGCACCCATGCACCCGTGCACCCAAGCAACCATGCACCCGTGCACCCAAGCAACCATGCACCCACGGACGGACCCATGCATCCATCCACTCATACACCCATCCAACCATGCACCATGCATCCATCCGTCCATGCAAAATTATGCACACACATGCATGCATGCATGAGCACGGCAACACACCAGCATCTGTTGGTAGGTAGTGATAGTGGCCTCTCGTTCCATGCACCCATATACACTCATATAAACCCATATACACTCATATACACCCATGCAGACCCACGCACCCATGCACCCGTACACGCCCATGCATGCATGTGTGCGCACGTCAACACACCAGCATCTGTTGGTAGGTAGTTATGGTGGCCTCTCGTTCCATGCATGTGTCTGTGTATGCCTTGATGCTTGCTGCTGCCTGCAGGAAGAAGAGAACAGTGGAGATTAGAGATAGGAAAAGGAGGGGGGGGGAGGGGGGGGGGGGTGGGGTTGGAGCAGAATGGATGAACGGAAGGTAGTGATAGTGGCCGCTCGTTCCATGCATGTGTCTGTGTATGCCTTGATGGTTGCTGCTGCCTGCAGGGCAAGGGGAAGGGCACAAGAGGAAAATGTGAAGATGAGGTAACAGAACAATCAAAGCAACAAGAGGCAGGTAGTGATATTGCCACACACCAGCACCTCACACGATCTCACACTACCTCATATTACCTCACACGACCACACCTCACACGACCTCACACCTTACCTCAAACCAGCGCAGCAGCTTCGGCCGACCCTTGGTGATGTCGGTGTGGCAGATGTGGTCAAATGCACTCGCACGTCTTACTGCTGCACACCAGACCACCGCATCAAACCGCACACCAAACCACCGCATCACACCACCTCACACCGCACACCACTTCGCCCTGTACCTCAAACCAGCGCTGCAGGTTGGGGCAGCCCTTGGTGATGTTAGTGCGGCAGAAATGGTAAAGGCACTCGCACTTCTAACTACCGCAGACCACACCACCACCTCACACCACACACCACCACCTACCAACCCGTCAGGTTGGGGCGGCCCTTGGTGATGTCAGTGTGGCAGAAATGGTCAAAGGAACTCGCACGCTTAACTACAACACACCTGTCCACCGACTCACACCGCACACCACACCACCGCCTCATACCGCCTCACACCATACCTCGAACCAGCGCTGCAGGTTGGGGCGGCCCTTGGTGATGTCGGTGTGGCAGAAATGGTCAAGGGCACTCGCACTTCTTACTGCTGCACACCAGACCACGGCCTCAAACCACCTCAAACTGCCTCGCACCGCCTCACACCGTACCTCAAACCAGCGCTGCAGGTTGGGGCGGCCCTTGGTGATGTCGGTGTGGCAGAAATGGTCGAATGCAATCTTGAATCGCTCCAGGAAGGGCAGATAGGCGATGTCCACCTAGTGGGGGAGAGGGGATGGAGTGGGGGAGGGAGGCTTGATTTTGGAGCATAAAAGGGTGGAAGGAAAACGGGGCACTGGGTGATGTTGGTGTGGCAGAAATGGTCAAAGGCGATGCGGAATCGCTCCAAGAAGGGCAGATACGCGATGTCAACCTGAGGGAGTGAGGAGAGACAGACAGAGAGTATGAGGAGACGACAGGTCTGGTGGGGGAGGCAAACGAGGCACTGGGAAATGTAGGTGCAGCAGAAGTGGTCGAAGGCGATCCTGAATCGTTCTAGGAAGGGCAGATAGGCGATGTCAACCTGAGGGAGGGGGGAAAGGGACAGGCAGAGAAAAGGAGGAAAGGGGGCACTGGGTGGCACTGCGCGGCGGAAATGGTTGAAGGCAATTTTGAAGCGCTCCAGGAAGGGAAGATAAGCGATGTCCACCTGAGGGAAGGGAGGGGGGACGGATGGATGGATGGTTTGTGAGGAAACGAGGCATTGGGTGATGTCATTCAGTGAGGCAACAATGCTCTAAGGCGATGCAAAACAGCCCTAGGAAGGGCAGATAAGCGATGCCAACCTGGGGAGATAGGCAGAGGGAGAGTGGAATAGGTGGGTGGGAGGAAGTGGTGAACGCATCGATGGGGAAATGGGGTACTGAATGAGGTTATGAAAAAAAACTTGTGGTATGGTTAGTTCACGAGCTTGAAGGCGACTGCAGCAAATGATATTTGTGAGAAAGTTGCTCCAGAATGGGAAGATGTGCGTTGGAGGAAAACGAGGAAAACACCAGGCTCATATGAGCCTTGTGACATATGACTACTAGAGCATAACATGCTATGACACAACGTAACGATTAGATTTCACATTTCCATGTGTGTGTTATATGGAGGACACAGTACCCCTGCCAAGATGTGAAACTGGTTTGGTTTAGAGACTTACGTATGAGAAGCTTCCTAGAAAGAAGGGCCCATTCTCTTGGTGCTTGCCCAGACTCGCCTCAATGGAGTCTAGATGCGATCCTGATGGGGACGAGATGATGACATGGCACAGGAGATAACATAAAAAGTTTTTTAATTGTGACAAAAATCCACACATGAGCAAAGAAAACTGCAATGCTTGAATTTTTGGATCGACTTTTTATCCATAACCTATGCCATGGCCTTCACCACACTTGCTCTTTCGCTCTCTCCCCCCCTTGTTGGTAGCCCTATTGGCCGTCAAATCGGCCAATCCTCCCTGCGTGCCGACTTGTTGTCCTTTTCGTGCTTGCAGGGTGACATACAATGTTCCGTAAGCGGACTGTTGCACAACTATACTTTGATTTGTCAGAGGAAGAAAAGAGAGAGCTCGACTTAATCATGGAGTAGCATTTCCTGAAATCACTGCTCGTGGTTTTAAAAACATATTTTCCATCATCAAGTCGAGCTCCGCCTTCTCCTCATCTGACAGGTCAAAGTATCCATAGCCACTCGTGCGATGCCATGCCATCCTATGGACCTAACACTCACCCATAGCTGCCTCCACTTCCGCCTCGCCGCCCGTCTGATAAAGCTGGGAGAGAGCAGACACAAACACACACACACGGTCACACACCCTCATACACCCTCATACACATATGCCACACCCCATACCACACCATACCATGCGACTCCCATCGACCTCTCCCTCTCACCCATAGCAGCCTCCACTTCTTTCTCGCCTCCTGTCTGGTAAAGCTGGGAAAGAGCCGTGTATCCAGCCATCATCAGGTCTCCGCACGCCGCTACAAGCGCTGATGCCTCTGCTGCCAGGGCGGGATCCTGGTTACACGCACACACACAGGGCAAAAAGCGAATGAGCTGGGAGAGCGCCGTGTATCCAGCCATCATCAAGTCCCCACACGCTGCTACAAGGGCTGATGCTTCTGCGGCAAGTGTGAGGTCCTGCACACATTGGGTTGGCAGATCAAGAAAAAGAACACACTGATAAAGATGGGATAGGGCAGAGTATCAGCCATCATCAAGTCCCCACAAGCTGCCACAAGCGCCGATGCCTCTGCTGCTAAGGCGGGGTCCTGGTTACACGCACACACACACAGAGCAGGATGTGAATGAGATGGGAGAGAGCCGTGTATCCAGCAATCATCAAGTCCCCGCATGTTGCTACAAGCGCCGATGCCTCTGCTGCCAGGGCAGGGTCCTGCATGCATTATGGTTGGAAGGCAGGTCATGAGAGAACACACGCAGTGGGAGGGGTGTGATAGAGGAGAGTAACCAGCCATCATCAAGTCACTGCATGCCGCTACAAGCGCTGATGGCTCTTCTGCTAAGGCAGGGCCCTGCATGCATTCAGGCAATGGGGTTGGTTGGCAATAAGAAGCCACACAGTGGGAGGTGTGTGAAAGAGCAGAGGACTGGTAGAGGAGGGAAAGAGCACAGAATCTAGCCATCGTTGTGTTGTGTCCCAGCTCAGCAGCGCAGGCTGCTTGTAGTGAGGGTGTTCTTGAGACGTCTCAAAAGCACCCTCACTACATCTAGCCATCGTTGTGTTGTGTCCCAGCAGCGCAGGCTGCTACAAGAATCGTGCCTGAGGTGAGCGCAGGCCTCTACCTGCACCTGTTGCCTTGTCACTCCATTGCCACTACTCACCTCAGGCACGATTCTCCGTCCCTTGTCGCCAAACCACTCATCAATCAGCAGCAGCAGGTCCAAGCTCTCCCCTACCGCCTATCGCCTCAGATTCCCTTCTATTGTACGACATACCCTGTACGTATTGCCACTACTCACCTCAGGCACGATTCTCCGTCCCTTGTCGCCAAACCACTCATCAATCAGCAGCAGCAGGTCCAGGCTCTCCCCCACCACCTTCCCTGCGTGCTCCCTTCCCTCGCCTTGCCATACCACTGGCACTACTCACCTCGGGAACGATCCTTGGACCCTTGTCTCCAAACCACTCATCAATCAGCAGCAGCAGGTCCAAGCTCTCCCCCACCACCTTCCCGTCATGCTCAATTGCAGGCACCTTCCCGGGCGGATACACCTTCTCCGTGTACCTGTGGGTGGGTGAGGGAAGTGCGGAAAGGGCAGGGCAGATAGGCATGGTAACCATTGGGACCCATGTGGTAACCAGCAGCACCTTTCCTGCGTGTTCCATGGCAGGCACCTTGCCGGGCGGATACACCTTCTCCGTGTACCTGTGGGTGGGTGGGTAAGGGGAGTGTGAGGGTTTTCAAACCAGTAACGTGGTACACTGCACTGCAGCAACCAGCACCAGCAACCATATCAACAGCACAGAACAAAAGCTCTCCTCCACCACCTTCCCCAGAAAAACGTACCATTCGGGCCTGCCGCGAAAATCTATATCCACTCGCTCGATGAAATCAAGACCCTTTGGGTAACCGGTGGAGGGACCCATGTATAACCAGTGGGACCCATGTGGTAACCAGTGGGACCCATGTGGTAACCAGTGGGACCCATGTGGTAACCAGTGGGACCCATGTGGTAACCAGTGGGACCCATGTGGTAACCAGTGGGACCCATGTGGTAACCACTAACCCGCCAGCAGCAGCAAGGGACTGATCTACCAACACCCATCCAGTGCGTACCATTCAGGCTTGCTTCGGAGACTGATCTCTACTCGCTCGATGAAATCAAGGCCCTGTTGCCATGAGGGTCGCCACGAGGAAATAAGCAAAGAGAGTGCACATTAGTGTTAGAATGCATATGCTGCAATGTAGAATTCTTCAGTGAGGGAGAAAACGAAAAGACAGAAATAACGAACAACAACAGGTTTCGAAAAGAATCAGTGGCAATACATGACAGGCGTCTCACCTTGTAGTTGACAGCAATCACCACCCGCTGAGCAAAGGGACACGCCTTGTAGTGGTATAGGCTGGAGGGGGTGTGGGGGTGTGAGAGAGGGGGGGAGGAGAGGAGAGAAAGCACTGTTGAATGGTTACTGGGTACTGTCTTTGACAGGCGTCGCACCTTGTAGTTGACAGCAATCACCACCCGCTGAGTATAGAGTGGAAGCAGGGAACGGGAAAAGAGGAAAGGAGGAGGGATAAGGGAGGATTCAACAATGACGTCTATTGTCGCCTAAACTTGACTGAAGTTGACTAGCTATTTGTGGTGACCATGTTGAATTGACCGCGTGGTGCTGTCAAACACGGCAAGAGTTCTTTCTTTGTTAGCGTTGACTAACGTTGACTTCCGTGGACCGACCTAGACTCACCACGTGGTGCCGTCAAAGAGAGCAGGAGCTGGCGATTCCGCACTCAGCGGCTCCATGACCGCCACGTCCCTATTGAATTGCGGTGACTAGCGTGGACTTGCGTTGACTCACCGCGTGGTGCCGTCAAATAGGGCAGGAGCGGGCGATCCCGCACTCAAAGGCTCCGTGGCCGCCGCCGTCGCCGCCGTGATTTTAGCCTGAACCATCGTCGCCAGCCTGGCCTTGCCGTGAGTCCCTCGCGACGTGACACGTGGCAGAGAGACGCGATTGGCGCGAAGGGAGGCGCCGGATAAGGTCCTACGTGGGCAAGATGACACGAATGAAAGGACGGAACGGCAGGAGATGGAAGACGGACGATGAAAATTTTGATTCGACACGTGGCATGCAACGATGCGACCTTCAACTCAATCCAGAAAGTACACGAGAGGGAAATTCGCTATAAGCACGTAGCCCAATCACATGGTGAGGGCTGAGCATTGAAGCTACGGATGCCACCGGACGGAAATGGAGATTAACGCACTTCGACAGGGGAATTGCGCGCGCGGATAACCGAGCCCCTTGATTCGTCAGAATGGCGGCGGAGGAAGAGGCGACGAAAGCAGCCATGGCTCGTAGTGCTAGGAGAACCGTTCCAGACCCGAGAAGTAGTAGCAACTAGTGGTAGCTACACGTGTGCAATGAAGCCTTTTCGGCTGTGCGTGCATGCGCCAGTGACACTGAATTCAGACAAGAGGTCTGGTTTGTACACGGCATGGAGGGACTCGAATGTGTGTAGAACCGTCGATTTCTCCAACAATACAAGAGCAACCTCGTTTCAAGCGAACGAGTGAAACGAACATCGAAGCGAACGCATTCACCCATCCAGGAACTCTCGCCAGATTCGTGAGCAGCGAATTTGAATCACTATAAGAGTGACCTCACTATTGCGAACAGCCAGGTTAACGCTGTGGTTGACGAGCTCATAAAAACAGATAAGTCACACGACTTTCCAGGACAACCAGCAATAAACTAACCAGCAATTGTAGCTGAAATTTTGCTACTTCAGAAGCACTTCATCTTTTGGTGTAGACACTGCCTCTCTAGCGCCTGATCGCACACCTCAGCAGCTGAAACCGAATAGAAAAAAGCCAACTCATCGTACTAAAACATCATGCATTTTCTACTCTTTTAGCGGGAGTGCTTAATGGGTGTAGACAATATCCTTGTCCTTGTTGACCAGATGCCCGTCACCTCTCAGCAACCAGCGCATTGTGAGAAGGCTACTACTCATCATACTAGAGCATTGTGCATTTTCTACTCTTTTAAAGGGAGTGATTTATGGGTGTAGACTATCTCCTTGTCCTTGTTGACCAGATGCCCGTCACCCCTCAGCAACCAGCGCGTTGTGAGGAGCCCCTCCACCCCGACAGGCCCTCTCGCATGGATGCGGCTCGTGCTGATGCCCACCTGCACCAAAAGAGTAAAATGATACAGGCAGAAAGTGGAAACACGAGTGAGGAAAAGTCAGCTCGATACATGGAAGTATAAGAAGCCTTCTCCCCACCCCCCCCAACTCACCTCGGTGTCAAGTCCGAAGCGGAAGCCGTTGGAGAAGCGAGTGCTGACGGTGTCTTTCTCTATTCCTCCCTTCCCCCCAAACTCACCTCAGCCCCAAGCCCGAAGCGTAAGGCTGTCGGAGAAGCAACCGTATGTCCACTCCTCTATTCTACTGTCCCCAAATCTCCCCCCTCTCCTCACCTCAGCGCCGAGCCCAAAGCCAAAGCCGTCGGAGATGCCTATTTCTATTCTCTTGTCCCCAAGCCTCCCTCTCCCCCCTCCTCTCGCCTCACCTCAGCGCCGAGCCCGAAGCGGAAGCCATCGATCAAGCAAATACATCTCTACTCTTTTATCTCTTCTAATTGACTCACCTCAGCCCCAAGGCCGAAGCGGAAGCCGTCGGAGAAGCGAGTGCTGGCGTTGTGCACCACGACCGCGCTGTCCACCGACGCCAGAAACTTCTTCGCGGCTTCCTTGTCCTCGGTGACGATGGCGTCGGTGTGTGCGCTGCCGTGCGTGTGGATGTGGTGGATGGCCGCATCAATGTCCGGCACGATCTCCACCGTACATTCCAGCGCCCCGTACTCATGGTGCAGATTCGCTGCTTCTGGGAGGCTGAAGGCAGCAGCTGCTTCTTTTCCTGCATGAAGCACTACGCCTGCAGGGAGAGGGAGAGGGGAGGACGGGGAGTGGAAGGGGCACAAGACGCAATGAAACAGAGCACAGGAACGGCCCAGTGTGCCCATAGGAGCGCTGCCGTGCGTGTGGATGTGGTGGATGGCCGCATCAATGTCCGGCACGATCTCCACCGTACATTCCAGCGCCCCGTACTCGTGGTGCAGGGTGGGCGCCTGAGGGAGACTGAAAGCAGAAGCTGCTTCTTTCCCCGCGTGAAGGACTACACCTGTGAGAGCGAGAGATGGGGAGGAAGCAGGGTTAGGGAAAGGGATACCGTACATACAATTCAAGGATACCATCCGACCATTGCAATGGCTGTTGTCCACTTTGCAATATGTACCCCAAATGCGTATTACACCAAGCGCTGCTGCACGTACCATTGTCTTTGAGCTCTTGAATGAGCTCTGCTGCTGCTCCCGACTTCACCAGCTCCTCGTGCAGTAGCAGGGTTTCCTATAACGAAGACAGCACAAGGAAAGAAATAGGAAAAACAGATACATGAGACATATGCTGCATCACCCCATCATTTATAGGAGTTTGCAGTAAGGGTACAACAAACGGGAACAGATGCATCCAATCGTACGGATGAAAATCTTTCATGCATCTCACCATGGCATTGCAGGCAGCGGGGTAGTCCATCTTGGCGTCGAGCACGATTTGTTTGGCCATCTTGAGGTTGGCTGCCTTGTCCACGTACACGTGGCACACGCCGCCCGCACGCTGCTACAAGCGCTGATGCCTCAGCAGCCAGGGCGGGATCCTGATAACACACACAGTGGGTTCGGCAGGTCAAGAGCGAACACACACATTGAGCGAACACACACACACCCAGGCAGTGGAGTTGGCAGGATGAAGGGGGTCGAGTAAGATTACAGAGAGCGGGGGTCTGATAGAGGTGGGAGAGGGCAGAGCATCACAAGTGTTGCCACATCGTGCTGCCACAGCAGAAGCAGCGGGTCCAGTTCAGACCCTCCTCCACCACACCTCAGGAACGACCCTCGGCCCCTTGTCACCAAACCTCTCGTTCAGCAGCAGAAGCAGCAGCAGGTCCAGGCTTCCTTGTGGGTCACAAGCACCATGATTTCATGATTTCCCGTCCAGGTCCCTTCACCCATGGTTCCGGCAGCGGCCACTTGATGCGTCCAGGTACTTGAGGGATGCAGGTAGGCCTGCCGGCATGCTGCCCGTCAAGTAGTGGCTCTGGATCTTACTGTATTGGAGAAGGAAACAGGAAAGAAGTTGAGTGTTCATGGGGGACGGATGGAGTGCCCAATAGAGAAGGGACGTGGTGAGGTGAGGACCCAGAGGGCGGAGTGGCCACCTACGGTGGGCCTATGCTTGCACACTTGCTTGCTGCTCATCCCTTACCCAAGAGGGCCTATGCACCAATAGCCGCATAGCACATGTGCCTAGCACCACTGTAACTGCTTGCCTTAACTGAATACTAACTTTGATAATCACTTCGTGGTGTAGTTGCATCATGCATAGACGTGATTCGTGCTGCCTCAACTGCCTTGCACTGGTTTTGACTTGCCTCCGAATTGTGGCTGTACCGTTTATAATATTCAATGATAGATGGGAGAAAGGACTGGCAGATGAAACGCAAAAATTAAAGCGACAGGAAGAGACCGAGTTCGGATATAGGAGTTCATGGCAAAAAGCGAGGGGAGAGAGAAAGCTCACAGCTCAGAGAGGGCAGAGAAAGCAGTGCGTGATGATGGCACGGAGCCAAACAGGAAGTTGTTGTGCACCTGGCTGGTGGGGTTGAGGGCAGCATTGGGGAGAGAGGGTGTTGAATCACACAATATGTGGCTCTTGATATTGCATGCTCTAGGTGGGCTGTCGTGGCTTGGTTTGTATGGGCTGTTCATCGTGCTTGACACGGTTGGGTGCTGTGAGGAAATGCTACAACCCAGGAACGATGGGCAACACAGGCTTAAAGTCATGGAGTGACCAAAATAGGGTTGAGGTTGCGGTGTGATTGGGGTGCATGAAATGTAGTGAGTGCAACTCACAGGACTTCGAGGGTCTTGATAGGAAGAAAAGGAGTGAGGAACGAGTTCAGGTAGCCTGAGAAGAAGAGTTTGTTCAGCAGCTCATTGCAGCATGGCACAGCCGACACACGTGCACGTCAGAGCATGTGATTGCGTAAGTAGACGTGAGCACAAGGGCGAACACCGGTTTGGTTAGCCTCCAACAGGCCCAACATGTTTGGGGCGAACGTATTTGTGTTTGATACGCTGTGGCAAGCCAAGCCACACCAAACACAAATGTGTTCATCGGAAAAGTCCCGCGACACCTTTTTTAGGTCAATTCGAAGCCCTAGTTAAGGTCATCTTTTTGCTTGACTTTTGCCAAACTCCCCTCATCTCATACCTAGATTTCCTAGTTATATATTTTTAGTAAACTTTAAAGCAAGCCCAAAGATGAACAAGGCGTTTTAGTGCGTTCCCTACACTCCTACACGCCCACCACGTTTAGTAACATCTCCCTAAACGCCGTAATCCACCGTTCATATTATTAACGAAGGCTGTTTCACTGTTTCCGCCGGATCGCATCTCGCTCAGCTGACGAAAGAAGGTTCTCTGGACAACACTTCTCGCATGGATTCTCTTTTCAGACAATTTTTGATAGGATACTTGAATCCCTTATTTACTATAGCTCTGGATTTGACCCGTGCATCACATTTCTCTGCAGTGCTGATATTTCTTGACTCACGTGACCAACTAGATACTCGAACGTAAGTCTGTTGGTGGTACTGACATATCGTGTGAGGATAGGTGGGGAGAAAGAGTAATTTCCATATGGGAGACAAAAGGTCGAAACGGAGGGGGGGGAAGGAGGAAAAAAAAGGAGGAAAAAATGTCTTCCACATTGAAAATTACTTTCTCCCCACCTACCCTCTCACAATTTATTAGTGCCACCAACCGAACTTACATTCGAGCATCTGGTAGGCCAGGAGAGTCAAGAAAGATTAGCACAGCAGAAAATGTGATACATGGGTCAAATCAAGAGTCATAGCAAATGAGTGACTCAAGTATTCTGTCAAATATTGTAGGGAAAGAAAATCCATACAGGAAGCGTCGTCCAGAGAACCTTCTTCCGACAGCTGAGCGAGATGCGATATGGCGGAAACAGGCTGCTAAAAGCGAACACGAACATGTTCGCTCCAATTATGTTCGTGCTCATGGTATTCGCCTTTGCAGGCGAACACCGAACACCCCTTTTTGTTGGAGATGTTCGGCCGAACAACATGTTCGGTTCGCCGAACATGAGTATTCGAGCTCGTGCTCGTCTTTTGCTCGAGTGGCCATGCAAGGATATGATTGTGTGAGCATGTGAGCACATCACTAGGTGAGCACCAGAGGTTGGATGCTATCCAGCACATGGTGCAGGTGAGATGTGACTATCGCGAATGCAAGGTGAAATGTGAAGCGCAAACTGTGAATGGAAACGAATGAGCCCCAAATTCCAGTGGGTGGGAAATGAAGGAAGGTGCAGCTTACAGCATGGTGAGAGAGGTGAGTGTTGACACCAAGGAGTTGACAGACCCTCGCAGCAGCAGATCGCCCGGCTTGCTGCGTGTGTATGTGTGGCACAAGGTAATGCATCACAAAAGAATTAACAACCAGGATGTATGATGACGATAACCATATTGTGAGAATGTGACAAAACGCCATGTCATGTCATGCCACGGTGGTGGGTGCAGGGTGATGACATGGTAACGCTGTAGCATGGTTTCATGCCAGCATGAGTATGTGATAGTTCAAATTGGCATGATGCGATGCTTCATGGCGAAACACAAGTGTGTTCTCTAGGAGCACGGCAGCCCGAGCCCATCACAGGGACACACATCAAACGACGACAAAGAGGAGACACCAAGAAGCCCCCCTGCACTCACAGGCTCAGAACCTTGCTGGTGGCGGCGTCACGCACAACGCTCGACCACGAGCCAGGTACCAGAGCCTGCCCTGCCAGAGCACACGGCACATCCACGTTCCAATCCGTGAACATGACACCCAGCGATGCCTTCACACTCAGCAGCGCCAACCCCATGGCAGCATCCATGGGCACTCCCAGGCAGCTCAGTGGCAGCAGCGGCTGGCCGTCCGTGTTGGGGAGGGTGGAGGAGCCAGCAGGGGCGGAGGCATCAGGGGCGCACAGTCCTGCGCACAGCCCCTCCATCACACAGAACGCCAGAAGCATCGGTGGACCCACACACACTGCACTCCGCGGCTGCCCGTTGAACTGTGCCGGCAGTGTTGGCGCAATTGCTGGCTCTGGGGAGGCAGTTGGAGCGGGCATCGCAGGCGGTGAGGGTGGAGGTGGGGAAGGAGCCCGAGAGCAGGTTGCTGGCCACATTAAGGGTCTTGGGATTGAGCGGCAAAGGCGGGGTAGCAGTCCAGTCTGTCAGCGTTACCCCCCCCCAGTGCAGCTTTGATGGCTAGCAACGCTTGGGCTGGAAAGGGGCGCATGGGAGGGATGCGTGAAGGGGAGAGAGAAGGAGGAGGGGTAAAGGGTTGAGGGGAGAGGGAGGGGTGTGCTGAGGGGGGAGGTGACGGCCAGGGGAATAGGGTGGGACGGAGTGAGTGATGAATAGCTGGTGGCAGCTGGTGGCAGCTGGTGGCAGCTGGTGGCAGCTGGTGGCAGCTGGTGGCAGCTGGTGGCAGCTGGTGGCAGCTGGTGGCAGCTGGTGGCAGCTGGTGGCAGCTGGTGGCAGCTGGTGGCAGCTGGTGGCAGCTGGTGGCAGCTGGTGGCAGCTGGTGGCAGCTGGTGGCAGCTGGTGGCAGCTGGTGGCAGCTGGTGGCAGCTGGTGGCAGCTGGTGGCAGCTGGTGGCAGCTGGTGGCAGCTGGTGGCAGCTGGTGGCAGCTGGTGGCAGCTGGTGGCAGCTGGTGGCAGCTGGTGGCAGCTGGTGGCAGCTGGTGGCAGCTGGTGGCAGCTGGTGGCAGCTGGTGGCAGCTGGTGGCAGCTGGTGGCAGCTGGTGGCAGCTGGTGGCAGCTGGTGGCAGCTGGTGGCAGCTGGTGGCAGCTGGTGGCAGCTGGTGGCAGCTGGTGGCAGCTGGTGGCAGCTGGTGGCAGCTGGTGGCAGCTGGTGGCAGCTGGTGGCAGCTGGTGGCAGCTGGTGGCAGCTGGTGGCAGCTGGTGGCAGCTGGTGGCAGCTGGTGGCAGCTGGTGGCAGCTGGTGGCAGCTGGTGGCAGCTGGTGGCAGCTGGTGGCAGCTGGTGGCAGCTGGTGGCAGCTGGTGGCAGCTGGTGGCAGCTGGTGGCAGCTGGTGGCAGCTGGTGGCAGCTGGTGGCAGCTGGTGGCAGCTGGTGGCAGCTGCACACAGAACGCCCTGGCCGTTGGTGGAGCCACAGACGGCACATTCAGGCACGCTGCGCTGCGCCAGTCCCAGTGATGCACACTTGGACGCGTCCACCAGGCTGTTAAAAATGTAGTTTCGACCTGGATCCAGCAGTCCTAACTCGTCCTAATCTCCTCTAGGCTGAGCTTAGGAGAGTAGGGATAGAATAGGTAAGAAATTGTCAATCAAACCTGAGCGATGCACACTTGGACGCGTCCACCAGGCAGTTGCCCGTGCTGCTGGCGCGGTAGGCAATGCTGTTGGCCGACACGAAACCCGCCAGGAAGTTGCTTCACATGTCCAGAGAGGCCAGCGTGGTCGTCAAACAGGGCAGGCGGCGGCGATCACGCACTCAGAGGCTCCATGGCCGCCGATTTTCCCCTCGTGACTGGCGACCTAGACTCACCGCGTTGGAGCCGTCGAAGAGGGCAGGCAGCGGCGATCCCGCACTGAGAGGCTCCGTGGCCGCCATGTTGACTTGTCTAACATTGACTTGCGTTGACCTGCGTTGACTCACCGCATGGTGCCGCCATAAAAGGCAGGAGCGGGTGATTCCACACTCAAAGGTTCCATGGCCGGCGCTGCCGCTGCTGCGATCTTAGCTTGAGCCATCCCTGCCAGCCTGGCCTTGCCATGACTGTCGTTGACTTGCGTTGACCCACCATGACACCGCGTGGTGCCGTCAAACAGGGCAGGCGGCGGCGATCCCACACTCAGAGGTTCCATGGCCGCTGAGTTCCCTCTTGACTTCCGTTGACTTGCGTTGACCGACCAAGACTCACCGCGTGGTGCCGTCAAACAGGGCAGGAGCAGGCGATCCGGCACTCAGAGGCTCCACGGCCGCTGAGTTCGCTTTTGACCGGCCTTGACTTGCGTTGACCCACCATGACGCACCGCGTGGTGCAGTCAAACAGGGCAGGAGCAGGCGATCCCGCACTGAGAGGCTCTGTGGCCGCCGCTGCAGCTGCTGTGATCTGAGCCTGAGCCATTCACATGACTAGCGTTGACATGCGTTGACGAACCATAAATTACCGTGTGGTGCCGTCAAAAAGGGCAGGCGGAGGCGACCCCGCACTCAGCGGCTCCGTGGAAACCGCTGGAGCTGCTGCGATCTTAGCCTGAGCCATCACTGCTAGCCTGGCTTTGCTGTGAGTCCTTCGCGACGTGACACGTGGCAGAGACACGCGATTGGCGCGCAGGGAGGCGCCGGATAAGGTCCTAAGTGGACAAGATGACACGAATGAAGGGACGGAACGGCAGGAGATGAAAGACGGAAGCTAAAAAAATCTTTGGACACGTGGCATGCAATGATGCGACCTTCAACTCAATCCAAAAAGTACACGAGGGGGAAATTCGCTATAAGCACGTAGCCCAATCACATGGTGAGGGCTGAGCACTGAAGCTACGGATGCCACCGGACGGAAATGGAGATTAACGCACTTCGACAGGGGAATTGCGCGCGCTGATAACCGAGCCCCTTGAATCGTCAAAATGGCGGCGGAGGAGGAAGCGACGAAAGCAGCCATGGCTCGTAGAAGTGCTAAGAGAACCGATCCAGACTCGAGAAGTAGTAGCAACTAGTAGTAGCTACATGCGTGCAACGAAGCCTTTTTCGGCTGTGCATGCATGCGCCAGTGACACTGAATTCAGACAAGCAGTCTGGTTTGTACGCGGCATGGAGGGACTCGAATGTGTTTCGAACCGTCGATTTCTCCAACAATGCAAGAGCAACCTCGTCCAAAACGAACGATTGAAACGAACATCGAGGCGAATGCATTCATGCATCCAGGAACTCTCGCCAGATTCGTGAGCAGCAAATTTCGAAACACTATAAGAGTGGCCTCACTATTGCGAACAGCCAGGTTAGCGCTGTGGTTGACGAGCTCATAAAAACGAAAAAGTCATATGACTTTCCAAACTACCAGCAGTAAACTAATCAGCAAATATACCGGTAACTGAAATTTTGCTACTTCAGAACCACTTCATCTTTTAGTGAAGACAATGCCTCTCTAGCGCATGTTCGCACACCTCAGCAGCTGAAACCGAATCAAGGCGACTAGAAAGGCTACTCATCATACTAAAGCATTATGCATTTTCTACTCTTTTAGAGGGAGCGCTTTATGGGTGTAGACTATCTCCTTGTCCTTGTTGACCAGATGCCCGTCACCTCTCAGCAACCAGCGCGTTGTGAGAAGCCCCTCCACCCCGACAGGCCCTCTCGCATGGATGCGGCTTGTGCTGATGCCCACCTGCAAAGGACATAGAATGTGGTAGGAGCAGAAGATTAAGTTGTGTGGAGGAAACAAAAACCCACCAACTGAGCATCTTGAAGGAAAGAAGCAGAATGGGTGTCGCTTGCACGGATGCCAAATCACACTAGAGGGAGATGAAATCAAGCAGTAAGAGTCATTAGATTGGAAGACTTCAATGAAGCAAACATATATTTACTCTTTCTCTTTTCTTATTATCTCACCTCAGCTCCTAGGCCGAAGCGGAAGCCGTCGGAGAAGCGAGTGCTGGCGTTGTGCACCACGACCGCACTGTCCACCGACGCCAGAAACTTCTTCGCAGCTTCCTTATCCTCCGTAATAATGGCGTCGGTGTGCGCGCTGCCGTGCGTGTGGATGTGATGGATGGCCGCATCAATGTCCGGCACGATCTCCACCGTACATTCCAGCGCCCCGTACTCGTGGTGCAGATTCGCTGCTGCAGGCAGGTTGAAAGCAGAAGCTGCTTCTTTCCCCGCGTGAAAAACTACGCCTGCAGGGAGAGGGAGAGGGGAGAACAGGGAGGGGGAGGGGCACAAGACGTAGTGAAACACAGCACAGGAACGGCCCAGTGTGCCCATAGGAGCGCTGCCGTGCGTGTGGATGTGGTGGATGGCCGCGTCAATGTCCGGCACGATCTCCACCGTACATTCCAGCGCCCCGTACTCGTGGTGCAGGGTGGGGGGCCTGAAGGAGACTGAAAGCCGAAGCTGCTTCCTTCCCAGCATGAAGGACTACGCCTGCAAGGGGAGGGGGTTTGGGAGGGGAGAGGAAGGGGCAAAAGGCGCACATTGATACACAGGGATATCGCAGCCCCCGGTGCGAAGTGGTGGATGGCCGCGTCAATGTCCGGCACGATCTCCACCGTACATTCCAGCGCCCCGTACTCGTGGTGCAGGGTGGGGGCTAGGGGCAGGGAGAAGGCAGGAGCTGCGGTCGCTCCTGCATGAAGCACTATGCCTGCACGGGGAGGGAGGTAGGGGGGAGCTTGAAGGCAAAAGCTGTCTCCTTCCCAGCCTACAAGACTATAACTGTAGGTAGAACGAGAGAGGGGGATGGAAGCATGGGTAGGGAGTGGGATGGCATTGCATAGGCCTTTTCACACACAAAGTGCACTTCACTTCAATCAGTTCTGCTATACGTACCATTGTCTTTGAGCGTTCTACTCACTCCAATGCAAAGCCTTCCACGACTGAAGAACGTACCATTGTCTTTGAGCTCTTGAACGAGCTCGGCTGCTGCTCCTGACTTCACCAGCTCCTCATGGAGTAGCAGGGTCTCCTGAGTACAACAACAGGAAAAGCACGAGGCATAACACAGACATATGAAACACTACGCCGTGTCCCCCTCGCGCATGGTTGTCTTCTGTAGAGGGTGCAAAAGGAGGAGCACGGAGGGCACAACAAATGTATCTAACACTAAAATAAGAAAACCTTTTGCATGTCCTCGTTTGGGCGGAACCGCCTTTGTGGTCGGGTGCACAGGTCGCGCGAGTGAACATCTGCAGAGTTCGACATGTGCAGGCCGACGAAGTTGGTCGACCTGCAGAAGACTGCTGCGAAGCTACCGACGACGGGAAGCCGACGGCAGAGTTCTACTAGCGTGGTCGTCGAAGAGGTTCATCAGCCTGCGCGAGTCTGTTGAAGAGCTGCCGAAGGTGGAGCTCGACCACAGCAACTGACCAGGTAATCGACAGAAGGGTCCGTCGACCAGGGTGGTCCTCGACAAAGTGCTGGTCGTCGATTAGGGCACCGGGTGATGGTCGACCCGGTCGACCAGTTAACATGCTCGGCAAGTTCTGCAGAGGCACGCGAACGTCATCAAGGCTGCGATGGCGAAAGAGACTTCAGGCTGGTATTCCGAAATCGATGTGGCTAATCAGGCGCAGACAACATCCGACATCACGCATGATAGTGCATGTTGGGCCAATCGTTTGCGTGCACCTGCAAGCATGCGCACTGCGGTCACCCACGGGTGCAACGCTGGACGGTCGCTTTGCCACAGCGTTGGCACGCCGTCAACCTGCTCTGTTGGTACGCTTTCGATATGCCTCCCTCACCTCTAACCCATTCCCTTACCTCCCCTCCCCCCTCTACCAGGTCCCTCCCTTTGCCACTCCCTCACCATGGCATTGCAGGCAGCCGGATAGTCCATCTTGGCGTCGAGCACAATCTGTTTGGCCATCTTGAGGTTGGCTGCCCTGTCCACGTACACGTGGCACACGCCGTCCGCATGGCCCAGCACCGCAATCTTGGTGTGCGATTTGATATGATTCACCAGCGCGTTGCTGCCGCGCGGAATCACCAGGTCGATCACGTCGTCCAGCTTCAGCAGATCCGAGATGTCGTCGCGCGAAGTGACCAGCCCGATCAGTGACGGGCCCACCTCGGGTGGGAGTGCCGATGCCATCACCTGGAGGGGACGGGAGGCAGTGGGGGAGGGGCAGGAGGGAAGAAGCTTCAGCAGATCCGGGATGTCGTCGCGCGAGGTCACCAGGCCAATGAGTGAGGGGCCGACCTCAGCTGGGAGTGCTGAGGCGATTACCTGCACGAGCAAGGAGAGGGGCAAGCAAGGGGGAGGGGGAATCACCAGGTCGATCACTTCGTCCAGCTTCAGCAGATCCGAGATGTCGTCGCGCGAGGTCACCAGGCCGATCAGAGACGGTCCCACCTCGGGTGGAAGGGCCGAGGCAATCACTTGGGGGAGGGAGAAGTGTGGGGGAAGAGGATTTAGATGTGTTAAGAGGGGCAGGAATTATGTCCGGAATGGAGCAGTATGAGGTCGCGTAACACCAGTCACTGGTCATGGTGCTTGCACAGGTCACCAATTACTATGTGGCAGTTATTTCTCATCATTGCTTACCACTGCCATCTGGTTACCACTTGCACTGGTTACCACAACGGAGCTCACCTCGTGGATGATGCGGTTGGAGTTGAGTGCCTCCTTCCCTCCCTTGAGCAACAGCCCGTTGCCACTGCGAATCGCCAGTGCTGCGATCTGCGCCGGCAAGCCCAGGGATGGGTAGTGAGGGGGAGAGGGAGAGGGAAGTGAAATAAATGAGGCATGCATGCAAGCAATAGCCCATTGCCGCTGCAAATCGCCAACGCTGCAATCTGAGGTGGGTGGTGAGAGAGATGGCTCAGGCACACATATGTGAGCAACAGCCCGTTGCCACTGCGAATCGCCAGCGCTGCAATCTGAGAAAGGCCAGCCCAGGGATGGTTGGCGGTTTTGAGTCGACTCAAAAATTGACTAACTACACTGAGAAAAGCCAGCCCAGGGATGGGTGGCGGGAGAGACGAGGGAGAGGGAGGAGTAACGAATCAGGCAAGCGTGTGAAGGGACCAACCATTTTGGAGGGTGCTCTCAAAGGGTTACTTCAACCCCTTTTTTCCCAGTTGGATGGTTCAATCGCGCAAAGTAGCAATGACATGGCTCATGGGTATGGCTTGCAAATGAAGCCATGGCCGAGGGTCCATGGCTGGAGTATGGGTGATGGCATGGGCCTGGTGCAGGGCATGAAGTATGAGGCATGCGGTATGGTACGTGGCATGGGTTATGGTGCGTGAGAGCATGGGGTATGGGGCGTGGAAAGGGGTATGTTGGCATGGGGTATGGTGCGTGGCATGGTGAATGATGTGTGGAATAGGTTATGGTGCATGGCATAGGTTATGGTACGTGGCATGAGGTCTTGTGTATGGCATGTAGCATGGGTTATGGTGCGTGGCATGTGGCATGGGCTATGGCGTGCATGGGTTATTGTACATGGCATGACGTCACCCCTCTCACCTGCGGCATGGCGTCAGGGCGAGCCTCAAAGATCACCAGCAGCACCCCCAGCGGCCACCGCTGCTTCTCCAAGTTGAGCCCCTCTGCTAGCTGCGGACAGGAGGAGTTCCAAATCAGCGATGGGAGATAGAGAAAGTGAGAGAGGGCGTGGGGACAAACGAAGAAGAAGATAAAAAAAAAAAGGCGACGAAGGAGAAAACGGGACATGAAAAAACGGAAGGGACGAAGGAGGAAAAAGAGACAAAAAACGAAGACAAACATATAAGATCGTTATGCTACAGTACAACCCTTCCCTTTTTTCGTTCATCATCCACCCCTTTTCCGTCCTCCTCACCCGCTCCCCATCATTTTCCATTCCACCCACCTCTGCGCGAGCCAGCGTCTCTGCTATCAGGTCAGGCATCTTGGCAACGGCAGCACCGCAGCACATCCCATAAACCCCATCCCCATCCCTCAACTTCCTCCACCACACCACGCCACACCGCACCACACCATTCCACACCACACCACACCACACCACACCCACCCACCTCTGTGCGAGCCAGCGTCTCTGATATCGGGTCAGGCATCTCGGCAATGGCTCGAATACCCTCTGCAAGCTGTTGAATCTGGAACAACAAAAAAAAAAGGACAAAAAAGGAAAAGAGGGAAAAGCCACAAGGAGGGAGAGGAAAGGCAGGGGTGGTGAAGAAAGGGAGAGCTGTGAGAGCTTAACAAATGAGAGCCAGATATCCTGAACAGCCAGCTATTGAGTCTGGAAGAAGGGAGGGTCGGGGCAAGAGGAGCGCAGAAAAGTTTTGACCCCTCTCTCCTCCCCTCTCCCCCTTCCGCCACAGGATACAATTGAATTCTGATCAAAATTCGATTAAAATTTATTTACGTGAAGCGAACACCCATTCAGGAATGCAGAAATCGCAGACACAGAAGGTGATTTTTAAGGTGACTAGAAAACAGCATGAATCAACATGGACGGACAACAACTCAACCCCCGCACAAAACACAACCATCACTCGATCAGTCATTCCTTCCATGGGTGGCAACTCTGTTGATGCACAGCCCACTCACCCTGTTCGGCTTCAGCTTCAGCCGCTGCAGCAGCGCTGGTGCGACCCCGTTGATTTCAGCCGTCCGTACGTCATGGGCGTTCTGCTCGACAATCTCAGCCTCTCGTTTCACCAGCGCATCGGCCACATCCAGCAGCACCTGCTTGCGCTGCTCTGTGGATAAAGCCTGTGGGTAGGGTGGCGGTGGGGAAGGGAGGTTGCTGAGATTGCTTAGTGGAATGTAAGAAAAGGGCAGGCAGGCAGTCTCAGCCTCTCGTTTCACCAGCGCATCGGCCAAATCTAGCAGCACCTGCTTGCGCTGCTCCGTGCTCAGAGCCTGTACGAAGGGGAAGGGGAACAGGGAAAAGAGCGGAAAGTGAGCATTCTGCTCTGCTCGGTCATCTCCACATCTCGTTTCGTTTCACCAGCGCATCTGCCACTTCCTGATGTGGAGATGACCGAGCAGAGCAGAGTGCTCGTTTCGTTTCACCAGCGCAGATGCTCAGAGCAGAACAGCACCTGCTTGCGCTGCTCCGTGGTCAATCAAAGCCTATACATAAGGTCGCGGTGGGGAAGGGAGGTTGCTGAAATTGCATAGTGGAATGCAGCATTTTCACGCTCTTCGACACGGCCCACAGGTGGGCGTCCTTGTGGAAGAGCGTTCCGACCATCTCCCCCGCCAGCACCCACAGGAGCGTAACACACGACAACCAAACCCTAACCCCATCCCCCACACCCTCCTTACCTGCAGCTTCCTGCTCGCATCTCTGGCAGCCACAGCCATCTCTCGCCCAGCGCTCTTGACAGATTTAGAGACGGCCCATAAGTGGGCGTCCTTGTGAAAGAGAGTTCCGACCATCTCCCCCGCCAGCACTCGCAGCAGGGCATCGCTTGACAGCCCGCTGGCTATGACTGTGGGCACGCCCCCGCCTGATGCGTGCATTGCTGCTTCGACTTTAGCTGTCATTCCGCCGCGCCCCAACCGACTCTTCTGCCCGAACCTGGTGGGAGTTGGAGGGAACAGAGCGGGAGAAAGATGGGGGGAAAGGTGGGGGGAAGGTGGGATGAGAAGATGGGACGGTTGTCATCTCCCCTGCCAGCACTCGCAGCAGGGCATCGCTCGACAGCCCGCTGGCTATGACTGTGGGCACTCCGCCTCCGGATGCGTGCATTGCTGCCTCTACTTTGGCTGTCATGCCGCCTCGACCCAGCCGACTCTTCTGCCCGAACCTGGGCTTTTTGTATGGGTGGGGAGGGGACAGAGGCGGTCTGTAAGCCAGCCCGCTGGCTATGACTTTGGGCACTCCGCCGCCGGATGCGTGCATTGCTGCTTCCACTTTGGCTGTCATTCCGCTGCACCCCAGCCGACTCTTCTGGCCGAACCTGGCAGTTAGATGGTGGGGAGAGGACAAGGGGTATGAATTAGCCTGCTGGCAATCACCGTGGGCACTCCGCCTCCGGACGCATGCATTGCTGCCTCCACCTTGGCCGTCATGCCGCCACGCCCCAGCCGACTCTTCTGGCCGAGCCTGGCAGTTTTGGGGAGAGAGGTAGTGGAGAAAGGTGGGGGGAAGGAGGGATGGCTGTCATCTCCCCCGCCAGCACTCGCAGCAGCGCGTCGCTCGTCAGCCTGCTGGCGATCACTGTGGGCACTCCCCCGCATGATGCGTGCATTGCAGTTTCAACCTTCGCTGTCATCAAGGTTCAAAATTATGGTTTTCGTAAAATACGGTCCGTATTTAACGGTCGTTTTTAAAAGAAACGGCCGTTTTTTTTTAGAGAACTCTGTTCACCAAGAAAAAAAAGAGGAAAACAAGGGCAAAAACATTTTCAATCATGCAAACAAGCGCATACATGCAAGAAGGGTTCCATCCCCTTCATGCTGCTGCATTTCGGGTTCAATTTGGTCCCACTAAGTGACCGTTTTGTTAGTTATAGAGGAAACACCTCCTGGAACCGTTTTAAACCGTTTTTTACGGTACCGTATTTTACGGTAAAAATTCAATAAAACGGTCGTTTTTTTGAACCCTGGCTGTCATTCCCCCAACGCCCCACTTGGCCCTTCTCTCCAAACCTGGGAAAATGTTTTGGAGGGGGGAACCTGGGAAAATTGCATCCCAGGCCACAAAACCCAACAGTTGAACCCAACTTCTAGACCCGAAAACCTGGTTCCTCTTCCCCCTGTGAACCCACCTGATGGAGTTCCCATGCACGCTCTTCATGTTGGTATGGATGAGCTCTGAGTCAGGGTCCGAGGGCGGCTTACTCATGTCTGCAGCCACAAAACCCTACACTTGAAACCAGCTCTTAAACCCTACACTTGAAACCAGATCTTAAACCCTAAACCATGGGGTTTCTTTCTTTACTATGTAAACCCACCTGATGGAGTCCCCATGCACGCTCTTCACATAGGTGTGGATGAGCTCCGAGTCAGGGTCCGAGGGCGGCTTGGTGTAGAGCCTGCTTGCATCCAATCCAACACCTAAACCCGAAACCCTGCAATTTCCCCCTAAAACCCACCTGATGGAGTCCCCATGCACGCTCTTCACGTAGGTGTGGATGAGCTCCGAGCCAGGGTCAGAGGGCGGCTTGGTGTAGATCCTGTTTGCATCCAACACCTAAACCCCAAACCCTGGGACCTCTTGCCTCTATCACCCACCTGATGGAATCCCCATGCACGCTCTTCACATAGGTGTGGATGAGCTCTGAGTCAGGGTCAGAGGGCGGCTTGGTGTAGAGCCCCTCGATATCCGACAGCAGCACACACGCGTCTGCCTGCAACTCCAGAGAGAGGAGAGCAGCGAGAGAGTCGTTGTCCCAGAAGATACCTGCGAGTGACAGTGCAAGGGAGAGGTGGAGGGTAGCGGGATGGGGAATGGGGAACGGGGAAGGTTGGCTTGATGTAGAGCCCCTCAATGTCTGACAGCAGCACACATGCGTCTGCCTGGAGCTCTAGGGATAGGAGAGCTGCAAGGGAGTCGTTGTCCCAGAAGATACCTGCGAGAGAAGGAGGGGTTTGGGATGGGGAAGACAGGGGGTGAGTACCTAGCCCAACAGCAGCACACACGCGTCTGCCTGGAGCTCTAGGGAGAGAAGGGCTGCCAGGGAGTCATTGTCCCAGAAGATACCTGCAAGAGGGGTGAGAAAGAAGAAAAATGAATGAGGCACTCTTCTTATCGACAGTCAAGAGGAGAGGGCGGCTTGGTGTAGAGCCCACAGCAGCACACACGCGTCTGCCTGGAGCTCCAGAGATAGGAGCGCTGCAAGGGAGTCGTTGTCCCAAAACATACCTGCGAGTGAGAGGGCGCGGAGGGGAATGAAACGTGGTCCAACTCAAGAGCCTTTAGATGTCGGCAAGCAGGGAAAAAGCAGCGTATCAGTGAAGAACAGCACCATCCGGTGCTGCAGCAGCAATGACCCTGTGGATTTTACTTTTGAGAATTCTCTGCCGAAGCTGTGCTGCCCTGCGTAGGCATACACAACACAACACACGTGCCACCACCAGGGCTACACGAGTCGAAATGGCGTCGTTCTCGTTGAACACTGGCACCACGCGGTGGTCCAGCAGAGAGGACACTGACTGGTGATGGGACTCTGTGTGTAAATGTGTGTGTGTGTGTAAGCAGGTCACAACTCACCTGTGGCATCCTTGTAGGGTGCCCTGCGAGTCGAAATCGCGTCGTTCTCGTTGAAACACGGGCACCACACGGTGGTCCAGAAGGGAGGACACTGTGGTGCTGAAGCTGAAGCTGTGGGCGGACTGTGGGCATGCATACAGCTCTGTCGACCGCTCTCCCTCACATGTCCAGCCGACTCTCACCTGTGGCATCCTTGTAGGGCGCTCTGCGAGTCGAAATGGCATCGTTCTCGTTGAACACCGGCACCACGCGGTGGTCCAGCAGGGAGGAGACCGTGGTGCGCAGCTGGTTGCGGAACTCCAAGTCAGTGAAGTCTCGCTCAGTCACCAGCAACTGAGGTGGGGCAGGGAAGGGATGAGGGAGGGGCGGAGTGGAGGGTGGGAGTGGGGGTGCGGTGGGGTCAGTGCATGATGAGGTGGCACTGGCATGGGACAGCAGGGAGGAGACCATGGTGCGCAGCCGGTTGCGGAACTCCAGATCGGTGAAGTCTCGCTTGGTCACTAGCAGCTGGTGTTTCGGGGAAAAGAAGAACGGGGCGAGAGGGACGAGATGGGACAGCAAGGATGTCACAGTGGCGCGCAGCTGGTTGCAGAACTCCAAGTCCGTGAAGTCCCGCTCTGCAGCCAGCAGCTGTTGAGCGGGAAGGTGGTGCAGCGCAGGTTGGGTGAGAAGTGGCGGGGGAGAGAGGTTGCAGCAGGGAGGTTAACAAGGTGTTTCCTGGCGCCAGAGGCATGGTCCAGCAGGGATGACACAGTGGCGCGCAGCTGGTTGCGGAACTCCAAATCCGTGAAGTCCCGTCCCGCTCTGTGACCAGCAGCTGTTGAGCGGGAAGGTGGTGGTGAGGGTGGTGGTGAGGGTGGTGGTGAGGGTGGTGGTGAGGGTGGTGGTGAGGGTGGTGGTGAGGGTGGACTTAGAAAATGGCTTCGGCCTACACATCCGTCCCCATTCACCGCTGCAGGTCCTTGAAGCTCGTGCGCATAAAACCCTCCCTAAACCCCGTTCCTCAAGACCCGAATCCCCCCCTTACCCTACTGAACAGCAGACCTACATATCCATCCCCCACTGGACCCCTGAAGACGCTTGCAGCCCCTCAACGCCCCTAGAGAGACCGTACCTGCGCGCACCCAACGTCCACTTGGTTGAAGAGCGACTCGTAGAGAGCCATGAGCTGGCCCTGCCCGACAGCCATACACACAGACGGACTTGCTTTGAGCCGTCCCATAACGGATTTACTTTCAAAACAGCCTACCTGCGCGCACCCAACGTCCACTTGGTTAAACAGAGACTCGTAGAGAGCCATGAGCTGCCCCTGTCCGATGCCCGCGCACGGCTTGCCGTCAATGTCGTCCTGCGGGCACTGCAGGTCCTTGAAGCTCGTGCGCATGAAACCCTCCTTAAACCCCATCCCTCCAGACCATAACCCTCGCAATACGGCAGACCCAGCCATCCATTCCCCAACTACCCTTCATTCATGCAGACCCTTACAGTCCCTTAACGGTACTTGAAATCGAGAGAGCCTACCTGCGCGCACCCAACGTCCACTTGGTTGAACAGAGACTCGTAGAGAGCCATGAGCTGGCCCTGCCCGATGCCCGCGCACGGCTTGCCGTCAATATCGTCCTGCGGGCGCTGCAGGTCCTTGAAGCTCGTGCGCATGAAGCGCTGGAACCGCAGCTTGTGCCGCCCCACTCCGATCGCGCCACTTGTCACCAGAATCACCTCCCTGCCGTCCGATACGAGCGTTTCTATCTGATTGTAGAAGTACAGTGAGTAAGAGTCACAAAAGGGAGGTAGAAGTTGGCTTGAAAAGTAAAGTAGTATGTTGAAAAACAACACTGTAATGATTTTCATTGTTCTCGGTCGCTTGTTCTTCCTATTTTCCTTTTTAACCCACTATTTGTAACAGAGTTTCACAGACACGCCACAAACTATTTTCTGTGTGACGCATCGTTTCACAGAGAATCCCCTTTCGTACAAGTACCACTGGGCCATATGCGATACAAGGCTCTACTCCTACTCTACTGTCAGAGCTGCATTCAAAATAAGCTAGATAGATTAAATATTGCACTGCTCACCGCTTCGCAGAGTGAGCCCATTCGCCCAAGCGCGAGACGTCCATCTTGACGCGTCACCACGGCCGTTCCCACCTGAGACAAATTTGATAGTGGGTTAAGAACGCACGCTAGAATACATGTAAAAAGAAGCGTATAATAAGGCTAAGGAATAGCCTTGCCAGAAAGAAAACGCACGGCGAGACTAAGCAGACCTCACGATTAAGATAGGAACCTACATTGTTGCCTAAGTGATGACAGCTGAGCTATGACGCGTATAACGAGCCATGGATCCAGAACTTCACAAGCCTAGCGCATCTGGCGCACCTTGATAACGATCCGACGAGCGCCTTTCAGCGCCTGGCGCGCCGCAGCCTCGCCTGGCGACGACATCCCTCTGAACTAGAATAACTGAAAGGCTCGTTCGTAAAACACTAGCCTGGGATCAGAGAGTCCTGACGAGCTGATTCACAGCTTAGAGACGACTAGCACAGGCAACACGCTCTAGCCGAACAACACGCTCTGGCCAGGCAACAAAATGCTCTAGCTTCAAAGATGGAAGAAAGGTGGAAATGGTAGCAATCAGCCCCACTAAAATCGCCGAACCCCAAGGTTTCCTGCAATACGGGAGCGACTTTGGGGGCGACCACGCCCCATTGGCAGCCGAAGGATGAAGGTTTAGGGATGTGAACCGCACACGCCGCTGTCGGCTCCTTTCGCCTCACTCAAACTTCTCTGATTCGTCAATCTATAATCAGATGCCCCACCTGATTGGAGGATGCCTTTCAACCAATCACCACCACCTCCTTACAATGTGCTGCGACCTAAGCTGCACAGAAAACGCATGTGCATATATTTTAGAATTAAGGAGCAGTATCTTCTGTCGAGGCATTCTGTACAAGGGAGTTCCCAGCTCTGGAAGCGGGAAATCAGGGCCCAGTTAGGCAGGCATTATGGCCATTACACCTGATGCCTGTTTGAGCCCCTCCCGGTTGCCTTACGAAGGGGGCGTATAAGCTGTCACGAGCATTTCGCATAAGTTTCGGCAATTCGCAGCTATTTAAAAATGATTCGCATGTGCTTATAAACAAGATCTGTAACCTAGTTTGACTTCAGTCTCCTCTGCTTGACTTCGGTCTGTACCTAGTTTGACGTCGGTCTGTTCGTTACTACTGGTTGATAACCACGCGACGCGCTTGTAATGTAGGTGCATGAAGCTGGGGAAACAACCTCGGGTGCAGCGTATCCATCCGGCGCAAGGCAAATTCGCGTGCATGGGGTGAGCATCAGCTGTATCGCCATTATCGGCCATTTTAACGGGCCCCCAAAAATGGCCCCAAGAAACAGGCTGTAGCTGCAGTGAAACTTCGGGAAAAATAGCCCGAGTGTTCGGTTGGCATAATACGGGCCAAAAATAATGGCACCAGTCGGAAATGACACTTCGGAGAAGCCCGTATGCAGCTGCGCTGATGGACCGTGGAATCACTGTACGGGCAGCCCGGGCAGCCTCGCAAAGCAGCGGTGGACATCGAAAAAAATCGCACAAGGCATACTGTGCGTTCGATGTGTTAGAGATGGTGTGTTGGTGATGTGCGATTTTCCAGCGGGCACGAAGAGGGGTGAGAAAGACCGAGATTTGTTATTGTCAGGGCAAAGTTTGATTTCCCCGAATCAATGATCCCCCGCATGGTGCGGGGCCTCGAGGCCGCATGGTGCAGCGGATGAGAAAATGGGTAGTTTGCCTGAGAAAAAGGGTTCGAGGAAGGTTCCTCTTGTGAAAAATGCCAGCGTTAAAAGGGGTGTTCGGCTGGCATTCCATTATTGTCTGGTTCGGCGATGATCCGCTTATATCGAGCCTAGATAACCTTTCGCGCGCTTATCAAAGAAGGTTCCAGGGTGGTCGGTTTACTGTAGCCCATACGGGGAAACCGTTTTTTTAATGCCTGCCGAACTGGGCCCAGATGACCAAACTTGACGTCAGACCTTGAGGCTGGGTCTTACGTGGATCCTCCGTTTGGATAACGCCGAGATCTTGTTGGTACAAGTTGACAGTGATTGCTTTCAAGCACCTGGAAAGTCGCAGATGCCAGGCCGTCAATGCTGCGCTGGCGACATCGAATATCCGCCCAGGCGACTTTCCTGGGCCCATCAGTCAAGTCCGCCGCATCTGCTAGAACCACACCAACTCCTACTGCATTACTTACGACCGTTTAAAACATCATCTCAACGCATGTAACCCCTAGGGGCCAACCACCAACCAACCAACTGATGCACACCTGTGACCCCATTGTGCGGGACTTGTTCGCCCTGCAATCCCAAGAGCCACGGAGATCTCTGGGGGGATCTCAAAATGACCGTTGGAAACACAGATACGTACAGAATTCTCGCACACCCACCAGGCTGCACTGCAGGCCACACCAAACAGGCCCACAGAGAGAGTTCCCATTCCACCACCCACGAACGACATCCATCCCAACCAAGCCCAGTCCATCGATCTTTGCTTTCCAAGAGCTTCACCTCCGCCCTGCTGTTTACATTACACCATCCTGTCCCTACCTCATCCAACACAGTGTCACTCCATTAGCCTCAACTGGTTACCTTAGAGTTACACGTCCAGGCTTTGACGTCAGGCTCTAAGCTTTCTTATTTCGCTTCGACGGTGAGGTAAACCTTAGAGAAAACATTGTATAACCCTTTCTACACCGTCAACTATCAGCCATGTCTTCTCCTGGTGAAGCGGCTGCCCGGCACGCGCTGAAGAATGCTCGACGCGTCGTCATCAAGGTGACATTTTACCGCTTACCGCTGCCACGCATTACCTTAACGGTACCTTCATTGTACCGTCAATGCGTACGGCAAACCTTGCTGCGTGTCTCGTCTCGTTTTCAAATTGTTCTGCATTTTCTGTCCCTCTTCTGGTGCTTCCAGTAACCGTCTTAATTTTCATTTTTTGTTATTCTCTCCCTTTCCACTCTCAGCTTGGCACAGCCGTCGTCACCCGTCCGGATGGTCATCTTGCAGTTGGCCGGCTGGGGTGTCTCTGCGAGGAGGTGCGTACAAAGCAGGGAAATAAAGCCCAGCATTTGTCTGGTGATCTGTAAAAAACTAGCAAATCTGCAGGAGTTGCTCAATGTCGTCGGAGGACTCCGCGGCTGCTGGCAGCAATTGTGCCAGTGGTCGCTCAAAACGTTTCGTCATGGCACCTTCTCGATGTATTCCTCTTCTGTAGCATCAGGCTCGTCTGTTCCTGAGCCGCAAAATCACCATCGTCGGCAGGCTCTTTGTAGTTCTTTATAGGGGGTAGTAAAGAAATCATTCTTCTGTATTCGCTAAGTACATTTCCTTCTTCCACACTCTCACAGGTTGAGGCTCTTGTCTCCGAGGGTCGCCAGGTGATTATTGTCACCAGCGGATCCGTCGGCGTGGGCCGGCAGAAGCTTCGCTTCCAGGGTTTCATGCGGACGAGCTTCAAGGATCTTCAGAAGCCGCAGGCGGAGCTTGAAGGCAAGCCCTGCGCCGCCATTGGCCAGGGCGAGCTGACGTCACTGTACGAGTCGCTGTTCCATCAGGTTGACGTCGGCTGCGCTCAGCTGCTGGTAACCGAGCGGGAGTTTGCGGACTTGGAGTTTCGCGACCAGCTTCGTAGCACTGTGAATTCGCTTCTGGACCACCGCGTGGTCCCCATATTTAACGAGAACGACGCGATTTCCACGCGGCACGTTCCGTACAAGGATGCGTCGGGAATCTTCTGGGATAACGATTCTCTTGCCGCACTCCTATCTCTCGAACTCGAGGCCGACGCCTTGATTCTCCTCTCTGACATCGACGGTCTCTACACGGGACCTCCGACCGACCCCGATTCAGTGCTCATCCACACGTACGTGAAAGACTCGCACGACGAGATCAAATTCGGCGAGAAATCGCGCGTGGGACGAGGCGGGATGACCGCGAAGGTGGATGCGGCTCTGAAAGCGGCGATGGGGGGCGTGACGACGGTGATCGCGAGCGGGCTGACGAACGACGGCGTGCTGCGCGTGCTGCGGGGCGAGCTGGTGGGCACGCTGTTCCACAAGGACGCGCATCTGTGGGCTGTCGGAAAGTCGGGGAAAAGCGCTGCTCGCGACATGGCTGTGGCTGCGCGGGACGCCAGCAGGAAGCTGCAGGTATGCAGCAGCAAATGAACCTTCATTGTGAGCTGGTGGGCACGCTGTTCCACAAAGAAGCGCATCTGTGTGCTGTTTGCAAGTCATCGAAGAGCGCTGCTCGCGACATGGCTGTGGCTGCCCGGGACGCCAGCAGGAAGCTGCAGGTATGCAGCAGAAAGAGTCATCTTCGTTTGCATGGTTGCGATGATTTCGACGGCATAGCACGATCAGTGTGTGGGCAATATCCTGCCAGAAAGTGGCGTTTTGGATATATAGTCGCAGCGCTCCCTGTGTTGGGGATCGCCTGCAGTGTCCTGAAACTTTTAGATTTGTCTTACTGTCACAATGCTGCCTGTGCCATGGACTTGTCCGCGATGCAGGCTTTGTCGCCGGAGAAGAGGAAGGAGATCTTGCTGAACGTGGCGGACGCACTGGTGAAGCGGGAGGAGGAGATCATCGAGCAGAACAATCACGACGTGCGGTTCGCAGAGATCCATCGCGTTGCCCCTGCTCTCATCCAACGGCTGAAACTCAAACCTGGGCGGGTAGGTTAGAGTTTACCGCCTGTGAAAAAACTTTGCGAAGTGGGGTCCTGCCTAAGAAGTGCGGTGTAGACGTTGTGAAGGTGCCAGCGAAGAGCGAGGGAAGCATCAGCGTGGGGAGTATTGGACAGATGAGGTACTTATTACAGGTGGATGATCTGTGCTTTCGAAACTATCTGGTAAGACTTTTGTGATTGAGCGAAATCAGAGGAAGTCGAATGCAAAGAGCCAATACATAGCAGATGTCGCGAACGCCCAGTACACAGGATCAAGTTCCTTTCTGCTCGGCTAGGGGAACACGTTCGAATTCGAAATTTCGTGATTAAATGTATGGTCCTTTCGACTTCGCCCTCCGCTCTCCGTCCATTGGACTAATCGTTGGTACACGAAAGCCATAGGTCGAATCTCTCTGCCAGCACTTGACCCCACACTTTCCCAAATCCCTCTCCCGTCGACTTTTCCCATCCCTCTCCCACGCTCTGCTCCCCAATTTCACTTTGTCCACCCCCTCTTTCGATGGCACAGTCACCTCCATCAACTCGCTTCCCCGCGTTCCTCTTCCCCAAACCCTCCAGACCCCGCCTTTCCCCCCCCTCTCTCCTCTCCCCCTCCTCCTCCACCTCTCCTCTTCCATCTCTCCCTCTCCTCTCTCCCACCCACATTTCCCTCTCCCTCCCCATCCATTAGTTGGCAAACAGAAAGAAAT